TGCGTAGTGCCGTGAATAGTGTTACCTTGTAATTTCTCACCACAATACTTACATTGAGCTACGTACTTAATGTTACCGTTATTGTCGACCTCCTCGAATGTGTTGAAGTGCTCCCAAACTGCTGAGGTACGCTTGCATTTCTTCTTACTCTTTTCAGGGGGGGTTTTGGGCCATTGTTCTGATAATTAAAAAGACAAGGAACTAAGTCAAAGTCCTAAAGTCGAGAGGAAAAGGAAAAAGATGACCATTCTAAGCAACGACCATTCTAGACGACGACTGCTGAAATGCCTCAACATAACGTCGACCATTCATATGAAAATGGTAACGACGAATGCTCGTGACAACCAAGGGTCATCAGAGCCTAGAAGCCAGAGACTTACATTCAACCAGATATCAGAAAAAAACTATCCTGCGTGGGTCAAATAAAGCATAGTAAGTTACCATCCTCTACATTTTGCATATCAACACATGCATATGATTCACTGGGAAAGCCAGTAAAATCATACATCAACACAAATAAGCAATGATTAAAGCTTACTGGTAAGTCAGAGTCTGGGCGGAGTCTGGAAACCAACTAGCTTCACGATGCACCAAAGGAAGTAAGGAGCATAAGTCAGAAATTCACAAGAAGAAATTCAGGTAGAGCAACGACAGTTCTAAAAGTTTGGGAAAGAATGGCTTCGGTTCGAAGGATATTTAAGGGGAAGCAAGCCCTCGACCCCTGACCGTTGGATAAAGTTCATGAAATCCAACGGCAGGGGCATCTCGCCCAAATCTGACGACAGCAGACAAAGGCGGGAAAATGAAGGGACGCGATCCAAAGGCTCACATTCGCCCTTTCAAAATGAGGCCTCACGTCAGCATAGGGAAGCGACCGACGCAATAGTTGCGTTCCTCGAGGAAATCTGAAGCATCCAGACCATCATTGCAGACGAAGGCTCAGGATCAGGTTCCCACACCCGAAGCACGAAGGTACGACCGAACCTAAGTTTGAGGCTGTCTGAAAGAAACCCTCGACCTGGGGGGGCAGCTGTTGTGTGGGAAAATGTGGATGACGTGTGGAAAAACAACAGTGTGACACGTGGCCTTGCTTTTCCTCAAAAGGCAACAACCCTCGACGTTGGGGACTCCCTTTCCTTCTGCTACAAAGGAAGCCCAACTTAGGATGCCGACTCTAAGTGACGACGACAGGTCGTACCGTCGACCTTACGACGGGAATCCTTCGGGAGAAAATCAATTGCCAAGAAAGACAACTAGGCTGAGCAAATAGAGACGACGAGAGGAATGCCCCAAAAAGGGGAAAGCCTGACATCGCAAGTTACGTGCAGAAATAGGGGATGTCTACAGTACATGCATTAATTGCAAACCCTTAAACCGCCCTATGGGGGACAGAAAAGGGTTACAGGTACGCACAGAGCCGTAATGGAAGACTAATTGGTTGAGTGAACAGTTCGCCAAAGTGATTAGTGGGCTACGGTCTGGGCCTAGAAAGGCAGACCACTTGAGTGCTTCTGCCTACAAAGGAAACCCACCCGAGGAAGGAAGCTCGGTTATAAAAGGGGCGAAGCCCCATACAGGAAGGAGGTTGGCTTCCTGAGAGAGAAAAAAATGAGAGAGCAATTGTTGATGTAAATTGTAACAATCTCAAAAGGAATATAAAACTACAGTGGATGTAGCTCTTCATTTATAAGAGTGAACCACTATAAATTTTGTGTGTTCTTCTACTTCAAGTATTTCTTCTCATATTGATCACCATTTTAAAAATACAACAAACACTTCATTGCATGTATTGAGTGTACAGTCAATATCAAGATGGTAATCCAACGGGATACCTAGAGGTGACCCGGCCTATTTCTGTTGATGAGTTTTCACCGTCAACAAGTACCATGAATCCAAATTAAGGATAAATGTTTGCCAAACATTTATCAAATATGAATGTAACACCTCGAAAAATTAAGTAAGATTAATTATATTAATTGATATTTACTAGTGTGTTTAATCTAGTTTAATTAATTAATTATGTTCACTAAATGTTTTTAATATTTAAGTTTAAATATTTTTAAGGATTCTAAATATTTTCAATATTTTTATTTTTATCTTGAAGTGTGTGGAAATACATTTTCTAATCTACTTTCTTAAATATCTTTTAATATTTATCCTTTACTTTTTCTTTATTTCTTTTTCCTCTCTTTTGCTTTCTTTTTCTCTCTTCCTCCCACCGCACGTCACTCTCTCTCTACCTTTCAGATCTCTCACTCTCCCTCTCTTCCCTCTCTCTTGTTCTCTCTTTCTCTCCTCTTCAAACTCATTTCCAAGGGAGTTTTTGACTAAGAATTGAACTAAAGGAGAACTTCAAGAAGTTTTCAACATTAAAGGAAGAATTTAAGGTAAGATTTCTGAAGAAAAAAAATTTTTCTCTTGAATCTTGGATTTTTCCTTTGAAAAAACTTATTTTCAGTTTAAGTTTGATTTTGATAGATTTTAGTTGAAATCATGGTGAGATTTGGGGATTTATGGTTCTTTGAACTTGCTTTAGTAATTAGAACCTAGATTTGTTGATTCCCTTTTGAAAATATCTCAGATTTGAATTCAGATTTGCAGGATTTGACCTCGTTCTCCATGGATCGACCATTTTGGCCGACCTGCTTCGCTCCCACCAGTCAACCGGTCTCCTCTCCACCGGCTAACCGGTGGAGATGAACCACTCTGTCACCAGTCGACCGGTGCACACTTGGTTTGACCCTGATTTACCTTCAAACCTTAATTTTGGCCCAAATTTCAAAGAGAACCCAAATTAGCTTCATTTGGGAACCTAAAGTAGATGGATTAACATCTTTAATCCATGTTTTGAGATCAAAATCCTTGGAATGATGATTTGAACCATGAGATGATTTGTGAAATTTAGAATTGGATTAAGGCACACTAATAGGAAATCAAAGTGTATGATTGAGCTTGATTTGTTTTAGGAATAAAGATTGAATCCTAAAACATTATTTTGTGACAATGCTAGTTGAGGAATCATATTAGAAACTTTGAAGGAAGCGGAGGCTAGGATACCGAGAGGCTAGCCACAGGTTCAGCATTTAAGAGGTAGGATTTCTTGTCCTTTTCACTGTTAGCTTGTTTTAAGAGTTTTTGGCTTATATAAATGTTTTAAAGAAAAGACATGTTTGATAAAGAAAAGTACTTTAACACGAAAGCTTGATTATTGCTATTGGAATCATAATGAGTTGTTCTAAAATTTTAATGAATGTTTTCTTAAAATAAGATATCTTGCGAATTGGTAAGCTCGCTGATGGACTAGATATGATATGCAGAGTGTATCCTCGGGGGTAGAACCCGGACCGGGCCACTACGGTGGTGTTAAGGCTTGTGCATATGGTTGTGTAAGTAATTTATCATAGTTATAAATTACTTGATGATGCCTGTCATACAGAATTTTGAGATTATATTTCCTTTCAGAAAAAAGATGTTAGCTTTCAGATGTTGTGCTGGGACTGAACACTTCTATTTATTTATTTACTTGTTTATAAAGCTTTCTTAAATACATCCTACTGGGCCTTCTGCTCATGTTTTTCTTTTGTTTCTATATATTTAACCCATTACAGGCGACGCTAGAAGCAGTGATGAGTAAGTAGTAAACTCAAGTAACTCTAGCTTGTGCAATCCAAAAGAAGGAGTTGCGCACTCTTCCATCCTTGTTGTATAATGTAAGAGTTGTATATTATCAGAATGTAAACCTTAAATATATCTAGACTGTGGTTGATAACTGTAAATGTTTCTTTACATGTTCATGTATGTACAATATTGAATATCCTGTGGAAGGGAGACCCTGAATGATGCTAGAGGCTTGGTTTTAAACCTGTTTTATCAGAAAAATGTGAAAGTCCCCATCACTTTCTGGTAATCTAATTTCATTAAAAATGTGGGGCTTGTTTGAAACTTGCTGTAATGTTTTACTTTTGACTTTGATTATTATGGCCTCGTTCGTTTCGATGATTCGAGTTTAAAATTTAAGTTGAGATGTGATTGTATGTGAGAGCTTTTTACTGTAGTAAAAAAGTTAGATGTGATTGTTTGTGAGAGCTTTTTACTGTAACAAAACTCGAATCAGCGAAACGAACGAGGCCTATATTTTCAAATACTTAATTACTTTTTTAATTATGTTTAACTTCAAAATGAGCCTCTACGTCACTAACTTTTAGGCCCCGTTCACTTTGCTGATTCAAGTTTAGAATTCAAGTTTTTCTACAGTAAAAAGCTCTCACATAAAGTCACATCTCAACTCAAATTCTAAATTCGAATCAACGAAGTGAACGGAACCTAATCTCCACATCACTAACTCCTATTTCAGGCGTGTCAATAAATTCAACAACATTTAAATAATATATTTGATAATCAACATTCTGATAAGAAATAGGATAAAAATCCATTTAACATTTTCATGAAAAAAATGTTTAAGAACAACTTTGCTTTAGAGGAAGGGTGAAAAAATTATGAATTAAATTATATAAAATTACATTGGGTTGGTTAATTTATACCTTGTCAATTCACTTTTTATCGTACAAAATTAACCTTTTTGTTTGGTAGATTACTTCTCAAATTTTATTTTTAAAAGTTTCAGTCCCTCATATTAAAATTAACCAACGACTTATGAAAATTCTCGGGAATAATTAGATGTTAATGGCATTGTAACCGAAAGTTTTGCACAAATAGAGACATAACACAAATAGAGGCATAGTAATTGTTAATTACCCTTACTCTTTAATTCTACTATCATTAACAGAAAAAAAAATCTACTATTGAAAAAAAAAATTATTCAAATAAAATCTACAGAAATAACATATAAATAAGAAGAAAAACCCTTTTCTCATTCAGATCCTAAAAGAAACCAGAGACAATAAAACTTCATCTTTACCAAAAGAACCCTCTGAGCGAAACCCCATCTTGGCCATTCTTCTTCCTTCGATTTTCATTTGTGCACAGAGAAGAAGAGAGAGATGCTGAAGTTGCAGAAAAGCAGTATTTTCTTCAACAGAAACGCCATTGAGGGTATTTTCTCTCCTTCGTCCACTCTTTATCTCTTCAAGACTTGTATCGCTTCCAATCATTCTAAAGCCTCTCCGAATACTAATAATAATAGTAATAATGGCCGCCATAACAATGCCAAAATAACAACTCTTGATGATGCTTTGAACATGTTTGATGAAATGCTCCAATTGCGTTCTCTGCCTTCTGTTGTTCGTTTCAATCAATTGTTGGCCAAAATTGCCAAAATGAAACGCTATTCTGTAGTGGTCTCTCTATACAACCAAATGGGTTTTCATAGAATATCAACTGATGATTATACTCTCAGCACTGTGATTAATTGCTTTTGTCATCTTAACCACATGGGCTTTAGTTTATCTGTGTTGGGGAAATTCATTAAATCTGGTTATGTACCAGACACTGTGACCCTAACAAGTCTAATAAAAGGGTTTTTGCGACAAGGAATGGTCGACGAGGCAGCTGAATGCTACCAACAAATGACAAGGGGAGGTGTTAAGCCCGATATCGTCACTTACAACACATTGCTAAATGGGTTTTGTAAAGTGGGCAACACTAGTGCAGCTGTACAGTTGCTTTGGAACATGGAAAAACATAGGAACTGCAAGCCTGATGTAGTTGCTTATAGTACTGTTATCAACAGCCTTTGCAAGCACAGACTAATTGCTGATGCTTTGAATCTCTTCTCAGAAATGACTAGTAGAGGTGTCATTCCAGACGTTGTTACTTATACCATGCTGATTCACGGAGCATGCATGTTAAGCAAACGAGAAGAAGCTATGAGGTTATTTAATGAGATGGTAGGTCGAAATATCACCCCTGATGCACACACTTACACTGTCTTGGTTGATATGCTAAGCAAAAAGGGGATGGTTGCAGATGCACAACATATGACGGTGATTATGGAACAGAAAGGCTTCAAATCTGATGTGGTAACCTATAGTTCACTTATGGAAGGTTATTGCTTGCGAGGAGAAATGGATGAGGCAAGGAAAATATTTGATATGATGCTTGACAGGGGTTGTGAAAATGATATTCATGGTTATGGCATTCTGATCAATGGTTATTGTCAAATTAGGAGGATAGACGAGGCCCTCGGTCTATTTGAAGAAATGCCATCCAAGGGACTTATTCCAAACATTGTAACTTACAGCTCTCTTATTGGTGGCTTCTGTAAAGTAGGAAAAACCCAGGCTGCTTGGGAGCTAATTTGCAAGATGCAAGATTGTGGTCCGATTCCTGATATTCAAACATATAGTATTTTACTTGATGGTCTATGCAACAATGGACAACTTGAAGACGCGGTGTCATTATTTCAAGATATGGAAGAGAAGAAGTTACCGATTGATATCGTGGCCTACAATATCCTCATTGGAGGGTTGTGTAAAGCTGGCAATTTGGTCGCCGCAAAGGATCTCTTTTCCCAATTACCATCCAAAGGCCTTCAACCTGATGTCATAACATATCGAGTAATGATCAGCGGCCTTATTCGTGGAGGCCAAATGGATGAAGCCACAAGCTTACACAAGCAAATGGAAGAGAATGGATACCCCTCAAACAGTGGCACTTATAATTTAATGATCCGTGGATCTGTCTGTAATCACGATCTATCAAGAGCTGTGCAGCTTGCTAATGAGATGGGGGGAAGGGGTTTCTCTGCAGACGTTTCAACCGTGGATATGTTTCTTGATTTAATTTCTAGTGGGAAATTAGATCCTTCTCTGCGATCAATGTTCCAAAAGGAGTTATGAGGTGTAAGTCATTTGAAAGGGGTTTTAGCAGGGAAGAAACTTTTTGTAAGTGTCTTTATTATAACTCGAGAACTTTTTCTGAAGTTTAGTGCCTTGGATATTTCATATTGTATTGATTGTGACGATTGTATTGATTGTGAATTTTATTTAGGATGAAGTTGATCGATGGCAGAAACCAACAACTATTTGTATTTGTGCGTGAGAGACTTGTAAGCTGCTACAAACTCAATGTTGCTTATGTTAGAGAACTCCTTGAATCCCATATTGGATTACCAAATTAGTTCTTTTTTATTTTATTTTTTAAATATTCCGCTTAAGTGTCACTTCCTTTTCATGGATGATTTATGAATGTTTGAAAATTTTCCAAGAAATTCATCATTTAGTCATTCAAGAACATAAAACTAGTGGAAGGCGAGCAATTTGAGAATTCGAATTTTTTTATTGTTTTTTATTTATTTTTTATGAGGTAGATTTTTTATTTTTTCTATTTTTTATTCTTATATATATAGAATAACCTAGGGTATTCAGGCCTCTTTGAGCACCTAATCCCTAAGGGTGTGTGATTTTGAGGTAAATATTCTAATATTGGTTTACTACGGAAGTGGTTAGGGAGGAACCATTTGGAGCAAGAGTCATGTTTGGGTAAATGTGGGACTTGATTCCGGTGGATGGAATTCCAACTTTGTTATTAGATGATTGTTTCTTTTGCGTATAAATCATAATGTAAATACCAGGTTCTTTGCAGGGTAAACGAAAATGGTTCAACTTTCAAAGGATGTTTGGAAGAATAATTCTTCTTTTTCAGAGTTGTTTCCAATAATTTTTGCTTTTTTGTACGGATACCCCTTTAATTTTTTGAATTTAGCAATTTGGTCATTGTTCTTTTTTTTTTCTAGCAATTGATCCCTTCAACTTCAAAATTTTTGCAATTGACGACTAATAAAAAACGGCGTCTGTTTTTTTCTTTTGACGATTTTGATCACATGAACACCTATTAAGGATAATGAAGGTCATTTCTCACCTTTGTAGCGTCTTTTGAGGATAATAATTGACCCTTGAAAATCAAGAGTTATTTATTACAGTTGATTGTGTTCGGATATATTAGATGACTCTCACATCTATATAACTGAACAGCTGATTCTGTAGGGATTTCTCCATACAGTAAAACATCAAGTACTTATATGATATTAAAGATCTAAGTAATTTCAAGGTATGTCTTACCAATCTCACTAATGATCATTTGATTTTCCTCTTCTAATGTTATGTATCTTGTTTGGATATTAACTCTTAAATGAGTTTGCTTTTATGCTTTGGCAGGCTAACACGGATTACAAAGGTGTATGCCATATTGCTCTTGCTCAAGAAGATCATTGCAGACCTGCAGAGGTGCAGTTTCTCAAATCTTTTGGTTTATTTGTCTTTGAAGATTTTGTGATTTTGACTAATAAATGATGTACAACGGTCTCCATGTCCTGCTAGGTACAAACTCTCACACCTGCACCGCGGGGGCTTTTGGCCAATTTTCTGTTGGAATCAGGCATACTGATGCAGCTCTTGTATTGGGCATAGGGAAGCTTCTGCTCAAGGTATTGTGATTGATAAAATTTAGTTTTATGTACCATTGGAAAGAACACGGTTTTCCTATTTTAGGAAACTGTGCTGTAATTGAGTGTGTGATTAATTGTGTATCCAGATTGTGTTGTTTCCGGATTCTAAGTGATTTGACTTTTCTTGATTTGTAAATTAGGAGATTTCTGGTTTATTCTTTCCTAATTTAGTCTCTATTGTGTAAATATATATACGTGTAAAACAACCCTAGTAATACAACTTTCGATCGATTATTTCACATTCTAAACTCTGAGATGGTATTAGAGTTCTAGGGATTTCATTGCTTCCGTTTATCGATCCTTGTTTTTCTGGTTCTCATTCCAGAATTTTTCCATTTAATCGATTCCCTGTCTGGTTTCTATTCAAAGACTCTTTTCTTTTCTTTTGCCTTCTTTCTTGCTCACTTCTTTCTCTTCATTCCGCTTGAGTCACGTCCATACATCTGAATCTCAAGTAACCAGGGTTCAGACCACTGAAGACAGCCACTATGATGTCAGAGAACTGGCTAATATTCAGGTAGTGTACAAGCTGAATGGAAGGAATTATTTGAAGTGGTCTCAATTGGTGCAGACACACTTGAAGGGCAAAGGAAAGCTGAGCCACTTGCTTGGTACCGGTCCTAAAAGGGGAGATCCGAAGTATGATGCGTGGGATGAAGAAGATTTGATGGTGATGTCCTGGCTTTGGAATTCTGTCTCCAGAGATTAGCGATGCCTGCATGTTTCTTAATACCGCTAAGGAGATTTGGGAGGCTGTCACACAAACATATTCAAAGGTTCGTGATGCTGCACAAATCTATGAGATCAAAACTAAAATTGATGCTACTAAACAAGGAAATTGGACAGTTACTGAGTATTCTAACTTATTGCAAAATCTTTGGCAAGAGATGGATCATTATCAATGCATTCAGATGAAGTGTAGTGAGGATGCAACCATGCTTAAGAGGTTCGTTGAAAAAAATAGAATTTATGATTTTTTGGTAGGTCTTAATATGGAATTTGATGCAGTACGGGTGTAAGTTCTTGGCAAGGAGGATTTGCCGTCTCTTAATGAGACAATTTCCATAATCCGGGCTGAAGAAGGAAGGAGACGAGTCATGATTGAGAATGCTTCTTTTGAGAGCTCCGCATTGGTGTCAAAAACAACAAGTGAGAAGAATGCCGTGTTAGAGCAGTCTTTCACTGAAGAGAACAAACAATCATATCCGTCAAAGCCTTTTAACAGAGATAACCTGTGGTGCACATACTGTAAAAAACCTCGTAATACCAAAGAGAGGAGTTAGAAGCTTCATGGTAGGCCGCAAGTTCCAAATAAGAATGGGACAGGAAGAAACGGACAAGGGAGAGGACAAAGTCAAGCTCACATGGCTGGAATGTAGACTGGCAAAATAAGGAAATTAGAGAGGAGAGAAACTGAACGAGAGAGAAGTTTTGAGAGAAAAGAGAATTCTCTTATTCTGATTTAATCATGTACATCCTACGATTATTATAGGCTAGAACCACCAATCATGCTAATCAGTACAACAACAAAATAAGGAAAGTAATCCCACAAGTTTGGGAAACTTATTCTATACTCTAATCAAATCTGATATGATCATATTTGTTTCTATTTCCTAAAAACATAAAGAAATAATTACAATAATCAGAAAGAAGCAATTACAGTAATTGCTTATTATCATAATCTTTTAACACTCCCCCTTAAGCTTGGAATATATGTTGATCATTCCAAGCTTGGAACTTAGCTCCTCGAACTTTACTCCAGCAAGTCCTTTAGTCATGATATTTGCCACTTGTTGATGAGTTGATACGTGATTCAGTGTTAGAATTCCTTCTTCAATTTTTTCTTTGATGAAATGTCGGTCAAGCTCCACATGCTTAGTCCTATCATGATGGACAGGATTCTTAGCAATGCTTATTGTTGCCTGGTTGTCACAAAATACCAACATTGGTTATTCTGTAGGAATTCTGAGTTCCTTAAGTAGTATGTTTAGCCACATCCCTTCACAGATACCCTGTCCAAGCACGCGAAACTCTGCTTCTGCACTACTTCTCGCAACAACTGACTGTTTCTTATTTCGCCATGTGACAAGGTTGCCCCACACGTAGGAACCTGTTGTGGATCTTCTGTCAACGATTGAATCTGCCCAGTCTGCAGCTGTAAAGATTTCCACCTTTTGATTCGTTCCCTTTTTAAAAAAAGATTCTGTGGAAAAAAGTGTATAGAGTTGGAATACAGGCTGGAAAGCCATGTACAGCTAGGTGATTTTAGGCAATTAGTTTGATGGATTATTTCCTTAGAATTAGATATAGTTTCCTAATTTGTTAGTTTCCTAATTTGATAGGATACAGACTTAATGGTAGGGGTACTGGAGTGAATGTATATATGTATGCAGTGTATACCGTGATTAATATGAATGAAAATAAGAAGTTTTCATTTCAGCTTCTCTTTGTCAATTCACCACATGGTATCAGAGCCTTAGGCTCGAATTTCTGGGATTGAAATCTGTGATTGGCCTTCATTGCCGAAGCTTCTTGGCCTTTATTGCCGGTTCTTGCTTTGTTTGTTCATCAGTCTCTGTCCAGCAATTCCTACCGTGTCTGTGAGTCCATCATCTTGCTGTCCGTCCTATCCATTCTCTTGCTGCCATCTATTCTATCGCTGGAATCCAACATGTCAGAAACAGGGAAGACTAAGGCTGTCCAGACAGAGGAGATAATCAGGCCTCAGCAACCTGGAGAATTGCAGAACATTCAGGTTGCGTATAGACTAGATGGATCAAATTACCTTAAGTGGTCACAACTCATCCGTACGGTGTTGAAAGGAGGAGGAAAGATTAGCCATCTTTTGGGAACGGGTCCTAAACCAGATCCGAAGTTTGAAGCGTGGGATGAAGAAGACTCTATGATCATGGCGTGGTTGTGGAGTTCCATGATTCTTGAAATCAGTGACACTTGCATGTTTTTGGCTACTGCCAAGGACATATGGGATGCTATTCAACAGACTTACTCCAAAGCTAGGGATGCAGCCCAAGTATACGAAGTTAAGGTGAAAAGTATAGCGGCAAAACAAGGTAATAAGACTGTCATTGAATATGCAAACCAATTGAAAACCTTATGGATGGAGTTGGATCATTATCGAGTTATTAAAACTAAATGCCCCGAGGATGCAGCTATCTTAAAAGAATTTATTGAACAAGACAGGGTCTATGATTTTCTAGTTGGACTCAACCCAGAATTTGATCTAGTAAGAATATAGATTCTTGGGAAGCCAGAGGTTCCAGGTTTTAATGAAGTAGTGGCTCTAATTAGAAGTGAAGAGAGCAGAAGGGGGCTGATGCTTGAACTAGAAACCAATAATAGTTCGGCTATGGTGGCTGCTGGGAATAACAAACATGTCACAAACATGGAGAGAGGTATAGCACCAGAAGGAGAAAAAAACAACCAGCCAAAGTTCCAAAATCGTGATAGTCTTTGGTGCACTTATTGCAAGAAGTCTCGTCATACCCGTAATACATGTTGGAAGCTTCATGGAAAGCCACCAAGCCGTGAATGGGGCCAGAAAGGGAATCAGCCACAATGCAAAGGACAAGCCCATATTGCTGTGACTCCTCAAGCAGAATCAACATCAAAGGAATTGAGCAGTCTCAACCAAGAGGAGATTGAGAAATTTAGAGCACTCAT